ATGAGAAGCCTAGCAGGCAATTAAGGAGGACTGAGCTGGAAATTCCCCTGGCTGCTTGGAGGTGTGGGTTCTGTTCCTCGTTCTGGCAGTCAATGACCTTGGTAACTCAGGTGCTTCACCTCTCTGAACCTCCATCTCCTTATCTGTCAAAGGGATTTAATGACAATAATTGGGATGTTATAATGATCAGATGAGATAATCTCTCTGTGACTGCTTTGTGATCTGTGAGTTGAGCCATGGATCACCTTTCAATCTGGAACAACATCTCAGGTGGGAAGGAATGGAAGGAATCCATCCCCTGGTGGAAATTCAGATCCAAGCAGCAGATCAGTGGGGTAGACCATCCACCTTTGGATGGCCCTAAAAAAATCCCAGCATGCAGGTGCGGCATGCACGGCTGTCACATTCCAGCATGTGCAATCAGGGAGGGCGTCTGGCCTCAGCTCAAAGCCTGTTCTCCTTTGTAGAACAGTGCACCCCCAGGAGAAAGAAATAGGGGCAGCTACTTCTTGGCCTTTTCCGAATGTCCAATCCTTTCCATAATTTATCTGCCTGCTCCACATAATTACTTTTCTCCTGGCTTAGGAGCTTAGAGCAATAGTCGTTCCCAATAACTAGAGGCTTAATAAGGCTAAATTATAATGAGTGTCCTGCAGAATTACACACCGCATTAACACCAAATGAGTTCATTAGAAATTCATTAGGAATGATTCCCGTGGCTGCCACAGGAATTAATCACGGTTAGCCAGAGGCAGGAGAGGGGGCGATGAATCACTGCACAGAAGACCTTTTGGTATCTGATTTTGGCCCGAAGCAGTATTTTCCAAGGGCCTGGGGCTGTTTAGGATGTAAGTTTGGAGTCAAGGTGATTTAGATGTTATTGGTCCTGCCTCTCACCCTCTTCCTCCTCCTCCTTCCAGGCTCTGGCCCCAGTCGGGATTAGACCTATAGACTTGAGAGCAGGTCATCTTCTTTTTCAGTCCTGGGAAAGCTGAGAAATCATAGTGGGTACTTAGGTTCCTCCCTTCCGTGTTCATTTGGCTTTCTTCTGATGGAATACCTCTATGTCCCTTCAAGAGTTAGTCCTTGAACTCCCTGTTGCATGTGCATCTTAGGCCTGTTGATCAAGACCCTCCACCCACCTGGGCCACCTCACCCACCTCCAGGAGCCGATACACGTTACTAAGCACAGTTGGGCTTTGTCTCCTGGTATTTTTTTTAGTAGCTAGTATTTATTAAGTACAGAGAGACATACACAGGTCCGACTTATGCTTTTTGAACTTGACAATTGATCTTGCAAAATGATAGACATTGAGTGGAAACCATGCTTTGAATTTTGATTTTCTATTTGGTCAGTGATATGCAGTACGAAGACTCTTTTGTGATGCTGGGCAGCTTCCGGTCAGCTATGTGATTGTGAGGGGAGACAGTGGTGCTCTCCGGTGTGCTGTGTGACTAAGCTAGGATGTTCATTCAGCAGCTTGGATGTATTAAATGCTTCAATTCATGATGGCTGTATTGGGATGTCACTCCAATGCAAGCTGGGGAGCCTCTGTGTTTGCTAGGTGCCAGCCTTTTGCTAAGCGCCTTCATGTATTATGTTATCTAGTCGTTAAGGTGGGTTTAATTTTTTTTTTAATTTTTTAGTTGTTGATGGACCTTTAATTAATTAATATGTGGTGCTGAGAGTCGAACCCAGTGCCTCACACATGCTAGGCGAGCACTCTACCACTGAGCCACAACCCCAGCCCCAAGGTGGGTTTAATTTTGAGCTCCAGTGTGCTAGGCACAGAGGTTAATTGTTTTGCACAAGTGATGCAGGCAGCAGGTAGCCAAGCTGGGGCTTTGAATCTTGAGTGCAGCGTGTTAGGAGGGAGGACTGTGGAAAGTGGTTGACCAGATGGCTGTGCTCCAGGGAGTTGGTCTCTTCTTGCTGTCTGCTTGCTCTGTGCTATTTTTATTGTTGTTTGTTTGTTTGCTGCCCTGGAGATTGAACCCAGGGTCTCACACATGCTGGGGAAGTGTTATAGCACCGAGCTACCTCCCCAGCCCTTTTTATTTTCTTTTGAGACAGGGTCCCACCAAGTTGCTGAGGCTGACCTCAGACTTGAAATCCTTCCTCCTCTGCCTCCTTTGTCACTGAGATTACAGACACGCTCCGATATTTAAAGAATTTCCCACTACATGGACCCTGATGGAAGGCAGGGTCCACTTCCTAAGCTGAAAAGGCAGATTCTCATGTCCCATCACCCCTGGCATTGAGGGTGCCTGCTTTTCACTTGGGTTCAGTCTCTATAGCTCATGATGTAAATAATCAGGGCCCAGAGAATCTTCTGGTGGCTGTGGTGGCCACCGCTGTGCCTGGGGAATGATGGCTGTACTGCCAGCTTATAGTGCTACTGTTAATAAGGTACAAACTGTCCAGCCCAGGTTTTGTTAGTACTGGCAGCTGGATCCCCACAAAACCTTTATGCCATGTGACTGTGATTCTAGCTGTTTGTCCTCTCCTGTCCCTGCTTATTTTTCAAGCCTGAAAATTCTGTGATCTAACTGATCCCGATTCAATAAATTTCTTTTCGGCTCAAATCAGTTCCCACTGTTTGCAATTAAGAGTCTGCAGCCAAGAGCTCAGCCTTCCTGCCCACAGCCCCTGGGAGCACAGAACATGTGACTCTGGATGGACCAATCGGAGGCTTTTCTTCCTGCAAGGAAGCCATGTCGCATGCAGCAAAGAAAGAAATAGACAGAAAAGGAAGGAGAGAGAGAGAAAGAGAGAGAGAGTGAGAGAGAGAGAGAGAGAGAGAGAGAGAGAGAGAGAGAGAGAATATGACAGAGGTCCTGAGCTTTACAGTTCCCGGTTCTCCTTCCTCATGAACCCAGACTCCATTTTCTACACTTGGCTTTTCTTTTATTTTTTGACACTGGGGATTGAATCCAGGGGTGATTTTGCAACTAAGCTATATTCTCAGCCCCTTTTATTTATTTATTTTTAAAATTTTGAGACAGAGTCTTCCTAAGTTGCATAGGTCCTCACTAAGTTGCTGAAGTAAGCCTCCAACTTGGGAACCTCCCTCCTCCACCTCTACTCTGGGATTTTCTGAGATGCTCCTACATCCTTAGCATATTAGGTTGAACCATATAAAATTGTTTTTATAAGTCAAAAAGGTCAATGATCAGCAATTACACATGGTTCAACCTAATCCATCTCCCATTTTGGCCTAGGTTAGTTCAAGTGGGTTTCTGCTAACCCCAAGGGCTTTGTCTACACCAGTCAAAAATTCCATTTGCTCAAAAGTGGGGAGTGGAACAAATAGAGACACAGATATAGTACAAAACTAAGATTTTCCCTGTCTAGCAAAGACTTCCCAGTGAAATCCCAGTGGCTATAGGACTTGCCCACTGGGGTCATCATCTCAGAGGTCACCATCCTCCACTAGTTTATGACCCTGCCCTACTTGCCTCAAATAAAACTATTGCCATGAATACATGTTCCTGAATAATGTTTTTCTCAAGTGGTGGTGTTTCCTTTTTATGTGATATATCCCTCCAGTGGATTATGATGAAACTATTGGAAGCAACAGCCAGTCCCTAGCACTAAAAGAAAAATCATGTCTGGGGAGGGGTGGGCCCTGAGGTGGTGAGGGTGATACAGGAGCTTGGTAAGAAGCTAAGGTTTATTTCAAACCAGTTAATAGGCTTGGGGGTTGGATTCACCCAGTGAGGGAAGACCACTGAGCTGTTCCAAAGCCCTGCAGAGGAGGAAACAGGACCTGTGGGGCCATCTCTTCTGGCTACCGTTAGCTGCCCTGGAGATGGGAGGTAGGTGGATAAATGCTTTTTTGTCTAAGGATGGGGGGTGGGAAGCCGGCGTGGCCCAAGGATACTGATGGTCCTTGGAGAGCAAGCGTAGCACCCCGTTGGCAGGAGAGGAAAGGAATTGAAGATAAGAGCGAAGATAAGAGCAGGGATGAGCTGGGGAAGGGGAGGCTGGGCACTACCTTCAGTGGGGTGTGAACGGCTTTCTTGCGTCTCTACTCCTGACACACAGCCTGGTGCTCGGTGAATGTATATTGAACGAATTACTTGATGAATATACCACTTACAGATCTCCTCGTACATTAAAGACCAGCATTCTGATTTTCATCAGAAAACCAGCAGGCTCCCAAGTGGCAGCAAGTACCACTTCAGATCAGAAAGAGTGGAATCCCCTCCAAGCTTCATCAATGACTAGTTGTGTGACCTTGGATCAGTCAGGTAACTTTTCTGAGCCCAGACCTTTTTTTTTTCAGAAGTTTTTATTTTATTTGTTTGGTATGGGGGATTGAACCCAGGGGCATTTTTAACCACTAAGTCACATCCCCAGCCCTTTTTATTTTTTATTTTATTTTACTTTATTTATTTATTTTGGGTAACAGCGGTTGAACTCAGGGGCACTCATCTCTGAGCCACATAACCCAGCTCTATTTTGTATTTTATTTAGAGACAGGGTCTCACTGAGTTGCTGAGGCTGGCTTTGAACTTGTGATCTTCCTGCCTCAGCCTTCCAAGCTGCTGGGATTCCAGGTGTGCATCATCCCGACTTTTATTTTTTATTTTGAGACAGAATCTCCCTAGGTTGCTCAGATCCTAAGCTGCTGAGGCTGGCTTTGAACTTGTGATCTTCCTGCCTCAGGCTCCCGAGCTGCTGGGACTACAAGCATGTGCCACCACGCCTGGCTGCCTTCAGAAGCTTTTGTGTGGACTAAATGAGATGCCAAACAAATGCTTACTACAGTGCCCAGCAGTATGGGCTCCTTTGGAAAGTACGAAAGGAGCAAACAGTCTCCAGAGGCCTCATCAACCTAGAGGCCACATATTAATGAAATTGTTGCATTTAGTTACAGACATGAGTATAAACATGGAGCCAGACTCTCTCCTTCATGTTCCACTTTGACATTTTTTTTTTTTTTTTTTTGATACAAGGGATTGAACCCAGGGGTGATTAACCACTAAGCCACATCCCTAGCCCTTTTTTGTTTTATTTTGATACAAGGTTTTGCTAAGTCCTTTGGGCCTCGCCAGGTTGTAGAGGCTTATGTGGAACTCACCATCCCTGTGCCACAACCTCTAGAGTTTCTGGGATCACAGGCATGCACTCCTGTGCCTGCTGGGTGTGGTATTCCTGAGACCGTTTCTTCATCTGCATAGTGTGATGATGCAGGAACAGGATTCCACTTGCATGTTAGATCTCGGTTCCTACCATTTCCCCCATCAACTGGGAGGGAGAAGCCCACAGGAGGGGCAGCCTGTGCCAGGCCAGCAGGACAGGGGCGTGGATGTGAATGAAGTTTGAGGTGACATGAGATAGGGGTGGAGCTGTGATGTAGGCAGTTGGATATCCCAAGTCTAGAGGAGGGGTCTAAGATGAAGAAAAGAAAAAAAAAAGATTGGGAGTCACCAGCATTAGATGATATTTCAAGCTCTGGGCCGGATGGGATCCAGGAATGAGCACTCAGAGCAAAGTCAAGGAGGAGGACTGAGCCCTGAGGCACCTGACACTTGGAGATGCGGGAGATGTTGACCCCTGTGAAGCTGGCCCATCCAACACAGCCCTGTCTGGGCTGCACAGCCACCCTACCTCCATGTTGATCTAACACTGTTAGGCCCCGTGCTGGGCTCTGTAAAAAGTGCTTTACAGGGGCTGGGGATGTGGCTCGAGCGGTAGCGCGCTCGCCTGGCATGCGTGCGGCCCGGGTTCGATCCTCAGCACCACATACAAACAAAAATGTTGTGTATGCCGAAAACTGAAAAATAAATATTAAAAAATTCTCTCTCTCTCTCTCTCTCTCTCTCTCACACACACACACACACACACACACACACACTTAAAAAAAAAAGTGGACCTTCGGACACTCCATTCAAATCTACAGAATCAGATCTACGTTAAAAAAAAAAAAGTGCGTTACAAGAAGGAACTCATTTAAGCCTTCTGCGGTGGCACATGCCTGTAATCCCAGTGACTCAGGCTGGGGATGTAGCTCAGTGGTACAGCACTCCTGGGCTGAATCCCCAGTTCGAAACAAACAAACAAAACCCCACAGAAACAAAACAAAAATGAACTTATTGATTACTGATAACATCCCTTTCAGGTGGACAGTATTATTATCTCCATTATGCAGATGAGAAAACTGAGATAAAGGAAGACAAATCACTTGCCCAAGGCTGTGCCACCAGTGAGTGGCAGGAAGAGCTAGGATAGGCCCCAGGGTCTCTATGCAGTTATTGTGAGTAAAAATAGAGCCAGCTTTACTTTATTAGGGACCTCTGCATCTTAGCTTTTGATATATATATATATATATATTTATTTTTTTATATTTTTTTTTTTTTTTTTTTTTCTTTTTGGTACCAGGGGTACTTAATCTCTAAGCCACATCCCCAGCCCTTTTTAAAAATTATTTTATTTATGATCTCGGAAATAACTATCTCCCAAATTAACAAGTGAATTACTACTCCAACAGAGAATATGTGGAATATAGCCTTTGAATCACCTCTTTAAAAGCCCCCTGTTCCTGATGATGGGCAGAATCACAGCCTTTGAACACAAGTCCCCTGTGTTTCTCCCTCGCTAGCAAAGCAATAAACCTTTTTTTTTTTAACCTCAAAATAATTTTATTTAGAGACAGGGTCTCACTGAGTTACTTAGGGCCTTGATAAGTTGCTGAGGCTGGCTTTGAACTTGCAATCCTTCTGCCTCAGCCTCCCAAGCCTCTGGGATTACAGACATGCATCACGGTGCCCCACCTGATTTAAAAAAAAAAAAAATTTTAATTTTTGGTACTGGGGACTAAGCCCAGGATCTTTCAGATGCTAAGCATATGTTCACTGAGCTCCCCGGCCCAGACATTCATTTAAAAAAAATTATTAGTGCATTATAATTATACAAAATAGTATAATATACAATTTGTAGTTATATTTTTTTTTTAGTTTTAGGTGGACACAATATCCTTCTTTTTTATATATATGTGGTGCTAAGGATCAAACCCAGTGCCTCATGCATGGTAGGCTCTACTACTGAATCACAACCCCAGCCCCTCTAGTTACATATTAATATATGAACATAACACAATTTGATCTATTTCCTTCCCCATCAGCTCCCCCCCCCCTCTTTTTTCTACTGGGAATTGAAACCAGAGCCCCATGTGTGCTAGGCAAGCATTCCACCACTGAGCTGTGTCCCCTAGCCCTCACCTTGGACTCACCTTGGAGAGTGGCACTAGGAGAATCATGATGGAATCAATTGCCCTCCAAGTTCCCTAAGCCCTGACTTTCAAGGATCAACTCCAATGAACATTTCAGATTCCTGGTTAAGGAAAGAGAAACAGGGAATTGATGAAGGAGTTGACAACTCTGACCATTCACTTAGCCCACGTAAGACCTATAAGGTCCTGGGGTGGGAGAGGAGGAAGGTGCCCAGAGGTCCTTTTCTGACCAAGGACCCAAGCACTTGTGTCCCACCTCCTAATCTAGTTATTACTCACAGGATAATGGTGATTGTTTGAGGTCAGAGCCAGAGTCCAGGGGGGAAGTTGTGGCACCCAGAGGGATCAACCTTGGGGCCCTTCTTATCTCCATTGGGGAACAGTTGCTCTCTTGGTTCAATTGCCCCATAAAACCTCACTGCAATATGGATGCAGCTTGAGTTCATTTACCCCTCCTGGGAGGTTCTGATTGAACCTCAGAGCGATCACCTGTACCCCAGGAAGAGAGTGAAGGAAGGAAGTGTGGGTGGATAGAGGATGGCGGTCAGATGCACATGGCATCTCCTGAGGCGGGGAGGGGTGTGGTTAAGCCAGGCATCCCATTGCCAATCCAATACCCCCGGCCCCACTCCATCCTGTTCTTGATGATGACCTTAGATATGTGGTCCTTGAGGAGGGGACAGCTATGCCCATGCAGGAGGTCTATGGGAAACAGAGTGAAGTGGCGGCTAGAGAGGTCAGCAGGAGCATCCTGCGACTCCTTGCCCACGACCCCAGCTACACTCCTCTGAATTTCTGTCTGCTTCTTGCAAAATGGAACAATAATAGTCCCTACATCACAGAGCCATTTTGAGGATTAAATCACATAAACCATTAAACACTCAACAGTGTGCCCAATGCATAATAAACAAGCTGCATATATTATGATTTTATCCTGCAGTACTCCCTTTTAGAACTGGGGTCCCATGTGTGGTAGGCAAGTGCCCCACCACAGAGCTACATCCCCAGCCCTTTTATTTATTTATTTATTTACTTATTTATCTATCTATTTATTTATTTATTTTTAAGGCACGGTCACCACCATGTGTGGCAAAATCCTTTCTTTTTCCCCAAATAAATTCAGAAACTGCTTAGCCCCAGGTCTGGTAGAGCCTACTTTGGGTGACAACATTTTTGTTGTGTGTGGTGCTGGGGATTGAACCCAGGGCCTTGTGTATGCAAGGCAAGCACTCTACCAACTGAGCTATCTCCCCAGGGAGCTTACTTTGGATAGAAATGAAGGGGTTCACGGAGAGAAGACCCAGGAAAAGGAGAGAGACTTGCTGAGGTTTCCTTAATTGATGGTAAGGAGGAAGGCCACGAATCTTTGCCGGGTGCCCTGTACTTCGCCTGCCTGTTGCGTTTGATCCGGGGAACATGCCACAGCCAGGCAGGGCACAGTTACCACTGAGGATCTGGAGGCCCCACCTGGAAGACAGGACAGGAACTGCAAGTCAGGGGTCTGAGCCCAGAGCGCCTTCCCACGGTGAAGCTTGAACACAGTGAAATTCGTGGAACTCGTGGTCCAGCACCTGGCACCCAGAGGTCCTCAGGGCACCCTGGCACTCCCCCTCCCTCTCTGCCCTGGTCCCTGGCTGCTGCTCTCCTCTGGCTGCATCATCTGCATCCTTATTGTCTGTTCCCCTCCAGGGCTCTTTGCTGCAGAGTCCTTGTTTCCTTTCATTGTGGCCCTTCCCACCTTTGTCACACTGTCCCCTCATTCTAGAATATCACCTCCCTTTGTTCAGCCTCCTCTAATCTTCTAGCAATTTCTCTCTGCATCCAAATCCCATTGGCCTGTCAAGCCCTGTATCAAGTGCCACCTCCTCCCCAAAGGTGCTCCAGCCTGTGGCTGGACACTGGGACTCCTTCCCCGCGCCCCAGGCCACACACCTGCTCCTTGCTCAGGATGCCTCACATCCTGCTCTGCAGGCCTGTGCCTTGTCCCTGGGCTAGACTAGAGAAGTGTGTGTCTCAGTCATCTGTGCCTGCTCAGGGCTGGCCCCCCACACAGTAGGTGCTCAGTGCACCACATTCGATGAGGAGGGAGTGAATGAGTGAAGGGAAGATGGGAGGACAGAAGGGCAGGACACGAGTGAATGGAGGGAGGCACAGGCAGAGAGGGGGCAGGCTCCTCAGACCCTCCAGGAGTCCTGACCCTGGCCTTGCAGGGAAGGGCAATGTCTGACGCCTGGCATTTCCCCAAGGTGAATAACCGCAGGGCCCTGTCCCTCCGGGCCCTGCCCACATCATAAAGCAGCGAGTGTTTCCTCTTCAGGGTCAGGAGGGAGATATGGGGTGATTTGGGGGCTGAGCCCCAGCAGCTGGGAGCATTTATAAGCTGAGACTCCGGGTGGCCCAGCATCGACTCTCTTCTGCTTGCTCCTCCTGTCTGGCCTCAGCCCTCCCAGCAGCATGGCCTTCAGCGGCAAGTTCGAGTTGGAGAGTGAGAAGAATTATGACGAGTTCATGAAGCGCCTGGGTAAGTGGCCTCCTGAGTACGCCTTCCCCGGGGCTGGCCCGAGGCAGCCAGCTTGGGCCCAGAACCAGAATCCTGGGTAGAGCGGGACAGGACTTCATCCATTCACTTACTCATTCCCTCACACATTTGTAGAGCAACTCCTCTGTGCTGTCTCTGAGGATAACAGAAACCATAAGACAACTTTAACTTTAAAATACTATAGAATATTGGTATTTCTACAGATGGAAAACTTGAGACACAGAGAAGTTGAGTAACTTGTCTAAGGTCACATAGTTAGTAATTTTTTGGAGGCTTTGTTGGTGAATGAGAAACTTGGTGTTTATTCATTTAAACATTTATTGGACACCTGCTGTGTGCAAGAGCTATCCCAATGTCAATGTCACCTATGGGGACACTCAGCATGACTTGCCCAAGTCAGTGGAAAAGGTCTTTAGCATCCAGGACCCTGTCATGTCCTGCCTGAGGAGAGATGACAAAGGGAGATTAGTAGAGAGACCAGGTTGGATAAGTCACTCCTTCACTCAGTCATTCAACAAACACAGGCCTCTACCTGTGCTGCGGTGGGCAGAGAGATTCAGGGTTTCATACTTTCTGGCTTGACTTACGATCTGATGTGAGGAACCAGGGACAATCCCATGGAAGTTTCGGGGCACCACCTAAGTCTGAGGCAGTGTACCAGCCCAGACTTGGTGAACAGCTTGGGGGACCTGTGCACTACCTCTTGGTGGTCACCTCTTGCCTGCAGGGCCCTTGTTCCCTGAGGCCTGTGGAGGCAGAACCCTCTGGAGAGTCCTGGCAGCTCGAGAGACCAGTGACTCAGTTTAGACTACCACAGGCTGCTGCAGGGGGTAGAGCTGCAAGTGAGCCCACTCAGGCCTAGACTCTGTTCTGCCATCCTGGAAAGCCCCTTCCTCCCCACCCCACCCCACCCCCCAGCACTGGGCATTGAACCCAGGGGTGCTCTACCACTGAGTCACATCACCAGTCCTTTTTATTTATATTTTGAGACAGGGTCTTGCTAAGTTACCCAGGCTGGCCTCAAACTTGCAATCCTCCTGCCTCAGCTTCTCGAGTTGCTGGGATGATGGGTGTGCGCCACCATACCTGACTAAGTCTCCATTTTTTTTTCCTTTGGTACTAGGGATTGAACCCAGCAGGTGCTTACCCACTGAGCCACATCCCCAGCCCTTTTTTTGTATTTTGTTTAGAGACAGGGTCTCACTGAGTTGCCTAGGACCTTGCTAAATTGCTGAGACTAGCTTTGAACTTGCAATCCTCCTACATCAGCCTCCCAAGCTGCTGGGATTACAGGCATGAGCCACGGCACCTGGCTAAGTCTCCATTTTCTTAACTGTAAACTAGAAGGACAAGCCAGGTTCCGTGGCTCGCACCTGTCATTCCAGTGACACTCAACAACTTAGTGAGACCCTGTCTCAAAATACGAAATGAAAAGGTTAATGGTTAATGGATGTTGCTCAGTGGTAAAACAGTAAAAACAAAAACAAAAAAAAAAACAAAACAGGAAAAAGAGAATTAGAAGACAATCTTGAAGGTCCCATTCATTCTAGAACTTTGTGAACTTGGCAATTTTCTATTATGTTTATAATTACTGTTAGAAGATCAGCTATTTTTGATGAAGAACAGATGGGTGCCAGGAGCTTTAAAAGACACAATGACATTGAATGCTTGCCACAGCCCTGTGAGATAGGCCCTATTTTTAATTTTCAAGGATTTTTTTAGGGATCACACACTAAGCAAGCCCTGTACCACTGAGTGACATCCCCAGCTTTAGGTCAGTCTGATGATCCTCACTGCCTGGATAAAAGCATGTAGGTACAGAGAGGTGGCCACATGGCTCAGCCACATGGCTCCTGGCACAGTCGGGCTTGAAGGCATGTTCTGTCACTGTGCTCTTCTAGCCCCAAACCACAGGGCTCCAAACAGCAGTTCTTAGGTGATCCCTCTCTCTGTCACCCGGCCCAGGTCAATCCAGCGAGGTGACCGAGAAGGCTCGCAACTTCAAGACCATCACGGAGATTCAGCAGAACGGGCAGGACTTCACCTGGGCCCAGTCCTACTCTGGGGGCCACATCATGACCAACAAATTCACCATTGGCAAGGAAAGTGAGATACAGACCATGGGCGGCAAGAAGTTCAAGGTGAGAGGCCCCTGGCCACCCTTCCCCGCTTCCCCACCCTCCGGCTTTCTCCATCTCAGTTGGGGCCTCCATGTTCCTCGGACTGAGACGTCTCTCTACAGTGTGGCCACCAGCATTAAGAGCTCCAATTACCTGAGAATTTAACACTCCTGGTGTGTAATGTCCGATGTCAATAATGGACACTATAGTGACCATAAAATCAGCTAACACTTCCTGAGCACCTAATATAACATAACCTAGAAGCTGGTTGAATGGTTTATACCTCTTAGCTTTGTTAATCCTCTGAAGTTGCTACAATGGCTCTCCCCAGGAGCTGAGTCCTGGGATTAAATAGCTTGTCCCTGGTCACACAGCAAGGGTAGGCCTCGACACCTAGGTGGTCTGGCTCCAGAGGGCACGGTGGCTTTGTGAAGCTGCTGCCTTTCAGTGTAGCAGAGAGATATGGAGCCCAGGCCCTGTTGTCCACATCAGCAAGATTGGAAGCTGCATCTCTCACGGGCGACCGTGGGCCTTGGATAATTCCTTTCACTTCCCTGAGCCTCAGACATCTAGGACATGGCACCAGGTGTGGTCCTTGACCCAAAGAGCCATGGAGAAGAGTCAGCTCCATGATGCACAGAAGCACCTGCGGGGTGCCTGACACACAGTGAAATCTGGGCTGGGAGGTCAGTAATTTATTCTTGTTCTAGAGGCAAAGAAATGAGGCTCAGGGAGGCCACACGATGGACCTAAGACTCTGCGTCCAGTAAGTGGCCACAGGACAGCGGCCTGAACGGTGCTGTGTGCCAATGGTTAAGCTATCTGCAGAGGGCACTGCTTCTGCAGGCACACATGAGTCCCCAGTGGGACACGGAGCTGCCGGGTCACTAAAGCATTCAGCCAGGAGGTTCGTTCAGACAGAATTCTGGACATCTTGACAAATCCCTGCTCGACCCTCTGTGGTCCCTTATTATGCTGCCCCTTAGTCTAGAGCAGGGCTTCCCCAGAGTCCCTCTCACCCAGATTTGAAGCTGTAGTCAATCATGGGTAGCAGAGAAGGGAAGGTGGCTGGCTGTCCCCATCCTACCAGGGCTGGTCCCTTAGGCCTTCCGCCCCTTCTGGGTCCTCTCGGTAGACTTCCACATGAGCATGAGAGTACCCTGCTCCTCAGGCTGCCAAGGTGGAGAGTAAGTCACCGTGATGTTCACGTACTGCCACTTGTATTTTTTATTTTTAATTTTTTAAAAAATGTTTATTTTTTAGCTGCAGTTGAACACAATATCTTTATTTAATCATTTATTTTTATGTGGTGCTGAGGATTGAACCGGGGCCTCGCACATGCTAGGCGAGTGTTCTACCGCTGAGCCACAACCTCAGCCCTATTTTTTATTTTTTTTAACTTGCTGGGGGTTGAGCCCAGGGCCTGGTGCATGCTAAGCAGGGGCTCTATCACTGAGTTCTAGTCCCAGACCCATTTAGGTTTTTAAAAAAACTTAACCTCTCCTGGGAGAGAACCTCAGTGAGTTAGCGTATTGATTCTTTTTATTCTTTTTCATAGTAAAGCACATTATCCTAGAGTACAGAAAAGCTCTAATTTCTTTAACCACTCCCCCATTGATACGTATTTAGGTATTGACTGGTGGATAAAATTGGCTGGATATTTAGGTTGTTAATTACTACAATGCTATAATCAAATTCCTTGGATAATATTGCTCCATGACTAACTCTGTACACTTAACTATACTGCGCACCAGGCACTGTTCTAAGTACTTTGCATAGATTGTTATTTAATAATATTTTTTGGTGCTAGGAACTGAATCTAGAGCCTTACACAGCCTAAGCCAATGCTCTACCACTGAGCTCCCCCCACTAGTCCTCTTTATCATTTATTCCTTCCAGCAACCCTATGAGTAGGGAGTCACTTGCTCCACTTGAGTGATGGGTAAACTGAGGCACGGAGAGGTTAAAGGACTTGCTCAAGGTCATCTCTTTGGAAGTCTGCCGCTGACTGTGTCCAGGCAAACTCCTAGAGAGGATCGCTGGGCTGCTGGGGGCTCTTCCTCCCTGGAGGGGCTGAGCTGAGCTGCTTGGAGGGTTCTTGTGGCTCAGGTTCCGTGTTTCCCTTCCAGGCTACCGTGCAGATGGAGGGCAGTAAGCTGGTGGTGGACTTCCCCAACTATCACCACACCTCGGAGGTGGTGGGTGACAAGCTGGTGGAGGTGAGTATCAGACCCTTGGATTCGGGGACTGATTCATCAGACCCCCAGTCACCGCCCCCCCTCAAGGTCAGCCTCTGGGCAGCTGGAACTTCCCTAGCGCAGGGTGCACATTTCTCCTTTGATCTAAACACACCCTCTGTCAGAGGGGGATTTTTATCTCCATTTCACAGGGAAGCTAAGGGATCGGCAGGAAGGCTTTGATGAGAAAGCTGGGATTCCAGGGGAGCACAGCTGACTCCACACCCCATTTGTGAGGGGCACACGTCTGCTGGCTCCCGGGACCCTTCCCAGAATGTAAATGAAGGAGGTGGTGCAGGTGGGCCCCTCGGGGGCAGCTGCGATTTCACTCCCTTCCCACAGGGGTCTTCAGGCCCTTCCTGCCACATCTTCTGATTTTTCAAAAGAAGCTGGAAGTTTGCACTTGTCTCTCCACACTGTTAAATGTTGGCAATTACTTAGAAAAAAATTTTTTTTAATGCTGGCAGGTCTGCCCCACCTATTTTCGTGGACTGGCCTCTCCCACACTCTCCAAGCCTAGTCCTGGCCAGAAGTGCTGCTTGGGGGGGACCCTGGCCTCCCCTCTGCCTCTTCTCCCTGGACCCCTGAGTTTTCCCTAGGAGAAGAAATGAGGTTAAAGGGAAGAGAAATCGTCCAGCGTAGGTCTAGGAAGAACTCTCCAGAAGGGCACTGATGAGGGAGGCAGGGCTGGACACCTACCTCTCCTCAGCCCCTTTCTGATCATTTCTCTCTTTCCCTTGTTTTGCGACCTCTCTCTTCTGGAGCCTGATGGGGAGGGAGGGAGTGAACTGCCTGTCCTTGCTTAGGGGCTTAATTTCCCCATTTTGGAGGCTGGGGAGTCTAAGGTCAAGGAGCGGCACTATTAGGGGCTGGTGTGGGCACTCTTCCTGTTTTCCTCAAGTGCAGACAGAGAGGTTGTCTCTGGTCTCTTCTTAGAAAGCCAGTATTCCCATCAGGAGGCCCCACCCTTGTAACCCAGTTACGTCCTCAAGGTCCAGTCTTCAAATGTCCTCACACTGGGGACTGGGGTCTTAACTGTGAATTGGGATGGGGACATTAATATAAAGACGAATGTGCCTAACAGGCTCAGTGCCTTCCATTATTCCTGTTTTACAAAGAAGCTTTACCAGGCAGCCTCAGAGACAGCAGGTGACTTTCCCAAGGCCACACAGCTAATAGTGGCAGAGGCGAATCCCATCCCCCAGTGTCTAGACTAGGCTGTTTTCCAGGCCAATAGGTCTTCTCTCTCCCTTCATTTTTACTTTTTAAAAAATAACTGAATAGATGTATAGTGTTACACAAGTATAAAAGGAAGTGAGTATCCCTCTTCCGTTGGGTGAAAATGGTCTCTTGGAGGATCTGGTGAATGCTCCGGTACATTTTTACATGAAATGTCAGCCAGGGGGGGTCCTGATTCCCAGAAGCAAAGCTCCTCAGCCTGAAGTGCGCAGGGAGAGCACAGGGCGTGAGAGCCAGAGGCAAGCTTGTGCCCAAGAACAGAAACCATCTCCCAAGCTCTCGGAGCCTGCAGTTTCCTCCCCTATGCAACAGGGCGACCTCCCAGGGCTGCTGGGAGGGTCAGTGGAATCCTGCAGGGGAATTGCCTGGGTCGGGGAGAGGAAGTGAACACAGGTGACAGGTTAGCACCCAGTGCTTAGCACCCCTTACACCTGTTCACCACCTTGACCCTGCACAGTGATTCCTGCAACAGATTGGGCACCTAAGACCCAGCCAAGTGGTGCCTGCCCTGTCTACTCAGGGTGGCGCTGGAGGCCGGTCTCCCTTCAGTTGTGCCCCATGGTGGACGGCCTCTGTCACTGCACTGACGCCTTCTGTTCTGGCTGCTTCTTTCAGATCTCCACCGTCGGCGGTGTGACTTATGAGCGCGTGAGCAAGAGGGTGGCCTGAGCCGTTGTCCGGGGCTCCGGGAGGATACAAACCCACCAATAAAACTGAATGAGAGCAGATACTGCTCACTGCAGAAACTCTTTGTTTCCTGGTGTCTTGGGACAGCCTCTGGCTGGGTGGGGGTGGGAAAGCCCCCAAGGATGATTGCATGGGCCAGGCATTGGCCTTGAGACCCCAGTGGAATCCTCTTCATGCCTGACAGAGGGGGCCATGAACGGGGACTGCAATGCTCCTGCCCTGGGAGAAGCCACAGAGAGTCCATGGTGACATACTTCTGGGCTCCCCCGCCCTGTCCTCCTCTCCAGGAAACAGAGATGGGGTCTTGCTAGTTGCTAAGGTTGGTCTCAAATCTTCCTGCCTCAGTTTCCCAAATAGCTGGGATGACAAGTGCATACCATAAAGGCTCCTTTAAAAAAACAAGTCACCTGGGACTTTCAGATGGGTCACAAGATAAGCATCTGAGCACTCTGGGTGCGGGGTGAGGGGGGCAGACATACCTCCAGGAAGTGCCCAATCTCCAACGCAGGGCAGACCCCGGGGTGCAAGCACCAGGGCTTATCCTGGGGAGGGGTTCCGTCTGGGCTGTGGAGTCATCTCCTTAGGCCTCAGGAGAACCATGAGGGGTTGAAAGGAAATGACAGTCCAGGAGCTGGCGAAGGGCTGTGGAGTGGCTGGAGGGACTGGAGGTCTTGGGCTGGGGCAGGGCCCCTGGGAGGAGCTAGGAGAGGCTGGAGAAGGGATCAGGAGGCCCACTCTGATCCTTTGGCAGGCCCTGGAGCCTTGGGTTGAGGCTTCTGGGGCAGCATTTAGGTTTGGCAGATGTCCTATGACTGATGGGAAACCAGGCCTGCCAGGGCACAGGGGTGGAGAAGGGTGGCCCGCTTGTCCCTGGCTTGACTATCCCTAACCCAGGGCACCGAACAGCCCTGTTTTCATCTCCTTTCTCCTTGGAAGAGTCTGCCACATCTGGGTATCAACCTGACTTCTTTTCACCCAATATTTTTCTGTATGACAGTTCACTTATTCTTACTATCATGGAAAGTTTTAGGTCACTTCCATATGTGGACAGTCAATGTCATTTTCCATAGGTAGAGTGAAACTATTTGTAAAAGTCACAGCCAAGCAATGTGAACTTCTAGGTGTATCTTGTTACCTGCCCAAAGCCCTGAGCTTGGCACTTCCCTTGTGAGAGAGGTAAAAGACATGGTAGAATTCACAGGAAAACCTTTCCCCTAACAGTCAAAATTACTCTAAGATTACTAAAAGGAAGCTGGGCACCGTGGCACAAGCTCGTAATCCCAGTGACTCAGGAGGCTGAGGAAGGAGGATTGAAAGTTCAAGACAGCCTTAGCAACTTAGTGAGGCCCTAAGTAACTTTAGAAAGTCTTAGAAAGATACTGTCTCAAAATAAAATAAAATAAAAAGGGCTGGGGATGTAGCTTAGTGGTAAAGCACCCGTGGGTTCAATCCCCAGTATGTACACACACACACACACACACACACACACACACACACAAAAGAGAACATACTGCAAATTTTCAAAGGCAGGCAGGACTTAAATTATCCTGAATGTACAAGTTCTATACTCGGGGAATAAAGAATAAGCTTTGCCTAGCACACAGCAGGTGCTTAATAAGTGCTTCCTCCCCTAAGTTTCTTCTGGCCCCGTGCAATCTGCAGCCCTTCACTCTTGGGGCAGCCTGGACGGACACTACGCCCAGCCTACTGGCTACTCTCCCCTCGCCTCCTCCCACAGGCTACCCTGAGACCTTGTTTGTCTTTCCAAGAACAGCCTCTCTCACCCACCCACCCAGCCAGGACCCCACGAATTCCAACGTTTTGCCAAGACTTACTGCTAATTAAGTGAACTAGGTAAGCATTAAATTAAACTAGCAGTGTTGCTGTTTCCCCTCCAGACTGAATAATTACTCATAATGAGCTTGGATAATAAGTCTCTAAATAACACAGAGTTACCCATAATTAGACTGAAAATTGAGTGAAGGAGAGAGGAGAGGAAAGGAGGAAGGGCAGGAAAGAGGAAGAGGAAGAGGCAGGAGGGGAGGGAAGGAGAGAGAGATTTCATATCCATAATTTATTCAAGGACAAATTCAAATTATTGGCAGGGAAGGACCTCTTAAGCCCATGTTGCCACATAATCTCAGAAGTGCAGAACCTGGGACAGCAGGATCTCAGTTGTAACTGTGTATTTCCGATATGGAAAACCAAGGCTCAGAGAAGGGAAGAAATTCACCCAAGGTCACACAGCAAAGGGGGCGGAGCACTGAGAGTAATGGACTGGGCTTCTCTCCCTGATGGAGGCTAGTTTCTGGGGTAAGTGGCGGAAAGTGAGCTGGAGGAAAGCAAATCCACTTCACTGGCCTCCTGGGAGCCAGAAGAGATGAGTGGTTAGTTAGGAGCTTTGACTCAGTCACATTGCCAGGACTCTTCTGTCACATGGTACCGATGTCACCTTGGGGAAGTTCATCCACTTCTCTGAGCTTCAGGCTCCGCAGCTGTAGGTGGGGGAACAGCTGTAATTTACCTAATGGATTCGGTATGCGCCCCCCGCCGCCCTCACCTCCCCTGTCTCTAACATCAGTGCCAAGGCAGTGAGACTAAAGGATTGGGAGTGCCTCCACCAACGTGTAAGCCACGTGGGCAGGTCCTGGGCATTGCTGAGCCTTATCTTTCCTGTGTGTAAAATGGGTTAATATAACCGTCCCCTCCTGGGTCACAGGGGAGTTACACAGATAGAGGTTAATAGGTATACCAACGGCTTCCAAAAAGCTAGCAGTGTGTTTCCAGCTCCGTTCAAGATGCAGCGGGAGGCCCCATCCCCCACACCTTAACGCAGGCGCCCTTAACCCCAGGCTCCTCATGACCTTCACCCTGACTCTTGGAGGTCATCACTCCCACTCTGCCAGGGCACCAACTTCCTCCAGTCAAGCTCCTCCAGTGCATGGGGAGCTCCCACAGAGGGTGGGTCACTGGGCCACTGTGGGTCTTCTCTCTCATTCCAAACCCTTGCACCAGGCCCTGTGGGGTGGCAAGGCCGATTCAGATTGCAGGAGCTTGAACTGACTCCCTTATTCACTGCGGCTCTCCTTTAGCAAATAATGTCTCCATGCCCCTAAGCTACACCCACAGCCCTTTAAACTTTTATTTGGAGAGAGATCTCACTAAGTTGCCCATGCAGGACTCAAATTTATGAACCTTCTGCCTCAGCCTTCCAAGTGGCTGGGATTACAGGTGTGTACCATCACACCAGGGGCAGCCAGATCATTTCTTTTTTGGGGGGGCATGGGGCTTGGGATTGAACTCAGGGGTACTCACTCACTGAGCCACATCCCCAGCATTACTTTGTATTTTATTTAGATACAGGATCTCACTAAGTTGTTTAGTGCTTCACTTTTGCTGAGGCTGGCTTTGAACTTGTGATCTTCCTGTTTCAGCCTCCCAAGTCGCTGGGGTGACAAAAGTGTGCCGCTGTGCCAGGCCAGATCATTTCTTTGTCCTGTGCATATAATTATGTTAAGTAGCACCCCTGATCTCTGCCCCCTGGATGCCAAGACCATTTCCTCTTGCAATTGAATATATCTCTAGACACTGCCAAATGTTCCCTGGGTCACAGCAGTGACTCTAGCTGAGAATCACTGCTATGAAGGTAAGGAGCCAGTCCCACAAGGATGAAGGGAGAAGAGCAGACCAGAGAGGAAACAGTTTTGAAGAGATGGCCTGAAAAACTCTCAAGGGCGAGAGGCACTGGAAGCCTGGCCCTACCCCTAATCTGGGCACTTGCAAATGTTAACCTGGATAGAAGCAAGTTCTCATTGGAAAAGGAGCCTGAGTCTCCCAATCCTTCACACAGCTCAGTGAAAGAAATACTTAAGAGAAGGAAGAAGTGTTAAGTGCAAGATAAAGCCGAGGCTGAGAGCTCAGATGGCTGAGATCGGGTTGGGATGTCGTTTCCTTGCCCTCTTCCTGTGAGCATGGAATCTGTGTCCTGCACGTTTAACCCTTCTTTCCTTCTTCAAGGAAATGCTGTACTTAAGTCACCAGGAAGATGGTTAAAAATGCAGATTCCAGGACGCCACCCCTCTTAGAGAAGTCTCCAGGTCATTCATTCTTCAGCTTGCTCAGGTTTGAAAACCTCTGGATTCAGCCAGATGTCAGCCCTTGGGAGGGCCTTTAAGGCCGTCGCTGTTACTAAAAAAAAAAAAAAAAAAAAAAAACTTTCCTAGCCACCCACCCCCAGCATGGGAATTGACCAAATATTGAATGGAACACACGTGTGTGGGAGAAATCCCTCCAGCTGAAGGCAGGGGCCAGGGACTCTGCAGCCCATCTTCCCCCTGAGTTCAAACTCAGCCATCAACTCAACCATCTCCATGGAAACAGGTGGGGAACCGAAGCCCAAAGAGGGAGGGATTTGCCCACAGTGAGGCAGATGCTCTTGGTAAATGGAGCCTTGTCTCTAATCTTCCCAAACCCAGAGCCTCCTGCTTCACTGGGCCTTGTACACAGAGAGGAGATCAGCTCCCAGCTCCACCTGCCAACAGACATGGTCCCCAAGCACACTTCCTGGGACTTCCACACACCTCTGCATGCCTCCCCACCCCAACCAAAGGCACATTTGCTTGGCAACACCAGTTCTCAGGGTGGTTCTCTTGCTGGAACCCGGTGGCGGAGAGCAGGACAGGCCCCAGAGAGAGCCCTTCAGGGAAGGGCAGGAATCTGATATCCTCTATGTCAGTGGATGTGTCTTCCATGGTTCTACCTACAGAGTTTGACATTTTTAAACACTCCTGAATAGAATCCATGGCATCTTAAGCACTGTCATTAAGTTGATGGTGATTTTTTCTTTTCTTTTTGTGATGCTGGGGATGGAACTCAGGTCCTCACAAATACTGGGCAAGTAGGCACTCTACTGCTGAGCTACATCCCCAGGGCTTGGCAAGACTTTTTCTTTTCTTATTGTTTGGTACCAGGGATTGAATCCA